ATAGACGTGAGGTCAAAAATGTATTTCCTCAAGTAAGTTGACTGGCTCCTTTGATGTATATTGAATATCTTTTAGTCACTCAATTCTAATCTCTATCATAATGTAATGGAAAATTAGTATTTATATACCTACAAAAAATATTAAAAGTCTTTCAAAGGTCTTCAGAACTGTTACATAAATTAGTGATTTAAGCCTAGTAGAAATGTCGTCATTGAGTTTCTGTTTAAGTTCTTAAAACTGTAGGTATATTTTCTCAAAACTAGGTATTTGCTGTTTACTTAAAACGTTCCTTATAATAACATTACGTGAAAAAATGTTTGTGCAATTTTCTGAATCGAGTGTATTACTTTCGAGTGTCCATACTATGTATTGCAAATAAATGAACGTACTGACTTATTTTGCTTTCAAAACTCTTACATCACGTGAAAAAAAATGTTTGTAGAATTTCTTATGTGTATGGTGCCATCGACTGCATTATTTTATATTTATATCGTGAATAACTGTGTGTCTTGTCTATAACAATTATGGCAGATTATAGTGTATTATATATATCCGAGAGCTATGTTGGCACAGCGTAAGTTGCACTTTGTTTTGCTAGTATTTAAGAATGAATCCTAGAATTGTTAACACCGTTTATTTTAAGATAATAGTCATATTTATTTAAAATTATCAGGAAAAATATATTTGCAGATGGAATCGCACCGGATTCACATGTAAGATTACACATATAGAGAATTCAAAATTTCAGTTTAAATGCATGTTTTGTAAAACATTTATGATCTAAAACTTCAAAATGCATTATAAATTAATGCATTCACGCAAAGCAGCTAGTTCGCTGACTTAATTTTCAGCGATATTGTGAATATATTTAAGTCCTGAAAATGGTCGTAAGATGGTCAAAGGTATGAAAATATATGCGCATTAAAATGTCTGATGTCAATAATGATAATGATGATGATGACCGATGACGACGGCGATGATGATAAATTTTGCCAACCGTGATGCGAGATGCAGAAAGGTATATGTATTGATTGTACACCCGATTTGGATTTTTACACAGTACGTTTGAAGAATCACCTTAATGGCTAAATAAGTTGGAATTGCTCTATTTTTTAGAAAATAATTATGATAATTAGAAATCAAAGAGAATACGATCTTATTGTTACACTGCTGATCAGAAATCAAAGAAAAATAGTACTTAGTACTTTAGCAATGTCGAATAAAAACGCGAATCATATTATATGAGGGTAACGGTGATTAAAAAGTAAAGAAATGTAATTTCGTTGTAATTTTGCTGATTAAAAAATAAAAGAAATTCTATCTTTTAAAGTAAATTTAACCTTTAAAGGAACTCAAAATTTAAGCAACTGAAATATAGTCTATATTATTCAATAAAAGCTAATATTTTTGTAATTAAGTTATGCTTATAAGTAATATACAAATGTATCCATGACTGTAATTTATTGCAGAAAATTTGAGAATGCTGACGTTAAACACTACAGAACATTATTTTAAGGAAAAGATAAAATTTCTATCATTAGATTTCTAAGTTTCGAAATTGCAGAATGTATTATATTTAATTATTCATGAAAGGAGCTTAATTTTCGTGGAACTGATGTTTCTGCAGTTTTCAGAGAAGGCTATTTAAATAATAAAAGGAATGCATTGTAAGGTATGACTTTTATGAGGAAGTTACATTTCAAAGCTCTTCCCTTTTCCGTGGAGAAATTCATCACTTTTCAAATTGGCCCAGCTAGCAGCTGACTTAATGAGAGTACTAAATGCTATATTAGTATGTCTCAGTTTTGATTCTAAAGACTGAAAGAGTTGTCTGCGTAGAGTTTGCTCCGTTTTCTTCATATGCAACATAACCAGATAGTACATATATTACGGTGAAACACCGAAATCTGGAGAAATGTCGACTTTCACCGGTGACTGTCAACATTCACATAGTCGCTTGGTGTATGTCCGAAATATTTTCCAAATACTCTTATTTCTGACTTGCTCCTGTAAATGTCGACATTCACCATGTACTAATGGTGAATCTTAAACATATAAGAATATTATATTTTCTTTTCCGTAATTCAGTCGCGAAAAAACGCACTTGAGACTTAAAATAATAACTTAAGAACATAGGAACTTAAAACACACAGTACATTCAAAATGAGAAAGGAAAATAATAGAAGTTAAAAACTTACTTAATAATACAATGCATTCTAAATGAGAAAATAAAATAATAGTAATAAAAAATTACTAAATGTGATTCAAATCTTATTTATTGCAATAACGTAAACTATTATGACTTCTCTTTTCGACCTACACCAGATCATATCTGTGATTGTCGGCATACATACATACACCGGTGAGGGTCCGAATGTACGAGAATGTAATGCAATATTCGATCTTTCACCGACGTATTTGGTGAATGTTGACATTCTCCAATTTCGGTCTTTTATTCAGGGTGAATATATGAAAATTAAAACAAAGCCTGGGGACTTTACTGTTGCTTCGCAAAATGTGATACAGACTATTTATGCAGTATCACAAGTTACCTGTTCGTTAAAGGTATTTAAAATTTTTCGAGTTAGGAGCATTTCTTGAAGTTTTTACAATATTTCTTTTACGCTGATCATATTCACAATCACATAAATGCATATGCTTCACCACGTAACAGTTCGTTAGCGGCCGAGCTAAAATAGCTGAACCGTGGTAGTTAGACACGGACTCAAACCCCACAAATGGCCTGGCTGCATGGTAAGTTTCGTGGCTTTCCTATGTATAACGCGGATATAAGTCGGTTTGCCTTAATTATTCCTCCACGAAACCATTCCTCCTCTTAGTACTTTGTAATAAGCCAAGAAATCCAATAAGCTTATGAATTTTTTTGCTATACGAAGTGAATAAGATAGTTCACTCAAAATTGTTTTAAATACATCCCTCCATATATATATATATATATATATAATTTATTTACTAAAGAAATATTGATTATATTATCTCCTAATATAAATTTAGTAGAAGTATCAAAAAAGAGGGAACCCATATGTAGGAAGTTTAATTCCGGAAATTGTGTTTTAGAGTAACTTGAACGTAAATTATGAAAAAAAAAAAAAAAAAAAAAAGTGTTTAGGGGACTTGATTTTAAATCATGAATAACAAAATTTCAAACTTTGAAAAGTAAATTAAAAACAAGTAATTATCGCTATTGATCGTAAATTAGTTGACTGTTCAAGGGGAACAAACCAACTCCCGTTCAATGAACAGTAATTAATAAATGCGAAGGTGTTTCGTCTTTTACTTAAGTAAGAATGATGATGCCAAACTGGCAAATTAAGTTAGACCAAAATTGTAGTTCCGTGAAGTGATGGGATTTATAACCAAAGTAGAGTACCATTCTGAATGAAGCATTTTCGCTAATACTAGATTCTTTATAAATTTTGAATGAAAAGCAATTTATGTAGTAAAATTTACAAAATACTTGAGTAAATGTCCCCCGACACCTTCGTTTTTATGCGTGTTAATTTAAGACCCAAAGTAATTGAAATAAACGTGAGAAAATTAAGAAACATAACAATGCTATCTTTGCAAAAAACAAATCAAATAAAAATTGAAAAATTGAAATATATAATAAGAAAGTAACATGTGAAATGTACATGAAGATATAAAAGGCCAGAAAATGCATTAATTAAATTACGTTCCTTCTAGTGGGATGTCGGTAAAGTGCTTTCTTCTGTGTGTGTCCGAAATTCCGTTATCAGCAGCGGGGATACTTTGAATTATTTCAGGCGGTGAAACTTGTGAGAAGTAATTTATGGGACGTGGGCGGGACTAGGAATGTTGGAGGGACGTTTGTTGCAGAGTTCTTATGTGAGTGAAAACGTCTGTTAAAATTTTGAATATATTAACTAGTGAATGGAAATTAATTAATTTTTGGCTAATTGTCGTGTCGGAACGAGGAAGAAAATTAGAAAAGGAAAAAAGTAATTTTCACTGTCAACGAGCTATTTAACAGACTAAAGATTATGAAATAGGCTAATTTCTTTAGTAACAGCCATAATAGAAGTCCATAATAGAAGTCTAAAAACAATTAGCTTTTTACATTATATACAATTTTGTAATTACACTATGTACAAATCCTCTAACTGATAATCATCCAACTTATACCGCCTTCTCAGGTTTAGGAACAAATTATCATATCCTTATCAGTTAAATGATTTAGAATGAGTATTTAACGCCTGCCCTTTTAAGACAATGGTTAATAAATCGATTAGGTATTAGATTATTTTTGAGAATTTTAATAAGGAGCAAAATTTCGCGTTGTAGATCTGTCGTATCTGTGCAAATATTTTAATCCGTTGTATTTGATTTAATATTGTATTACTAATAACATTTTTGGAGATGTTGGAAGTCCATTTTATTAATATATATATCTGAGAATATACAGATCTGTCCTTTTACATGCGCTGCATTATTAACGTGCATCTATCTTCTTATATGCAACTGCATTCTTAACATACAGAACAGTGTACTGGGTTTCTTAATTTTGATATAGAGTAGAAAATTATCAAATGAGTTAAAATTGTCTTCATTTGATACACAATGCATTTTATTTTCAATTTATGTACTGATACAACCGTTAAGAAAAATTTTATTGAAATTTAAGGAACAAACTAAAAAATATATTATCATGCAATAAGAATAATAATATGTACATCAACATAAATACTTGGCAACAGATTAGCCATATTCCATAACAGACTATTTCATTTTTTTCAGTGTAAATAGCTGAAAATAACGGAAGAACATTAATTACATTTGGGATTTCTTAAATGAATGCAAAGATACTAATTTCTTAATAAAGGATTCTAACGTTTCTTGTGAATAAATGCAGTAAGAAACGTATTTTTTCTTCCGGCGCATTTCTGTACGAATAAAGCAAAATTCAACAACCGATTTCAAAGTTGCATAGTTAAAATTTATATTTTAAAATTATTTCTTACCTTGTTAAGATGACCTCGTTAGAGTTTTGATTCTGGCGCTAGTTTCTCTTTGTGAACCATTAGAAATCCAAGTTCAAAATATTCCTACTTCGCATTTTGGAAAGTACTACATGAAATTTTTCGTGATATTACGTTCACCTGCTGCGTATGTACACGAACCGGTCACGTGGTATCATCAGCTGTGTATGCATGCGCTGTGAATTGTTTGCAAAGGAGCGTAAAATAAATGGAGAAGTCCAAAGCAATCCAAATCAATGTTATTCTCTTCGGAATTATTAACGTAAAATACATACACGATGCGTACATAATAAAGCTTAAAGTTCCAAGTCATGCTTTTTTCTCGATGCAGAGTCTTTATTTATACCTGAAATAAATGGAATAGAATGTTTATGAGCAATATTTTCTAATACCGACGGGTTTAAGAATGACTCTGCTCTTCTGCTATTGCAAAATGGGCTATAATTTTGCGTTGAGGTGAATTTTATGATGAATACATCTATATTAAAAGTTATAGAGAAGATTTTATACACCATATTAGACATTTAATAATACAATAGATCCAGCTGTATTTAATGTGTATATTAATATTATCAATTTATATTATTAATTATTCTCAATATTGCAGGAAAGCGTTGGAAGATGTTTGCAAAGATTTTAGAATAATATACGTAAATGGAATTGTTAAAATGTGATATAAATGTTAACAGATGTAGGTGACAGATGTACATAAACAGAATCGTATGTTAAAATAACAGCTAACGTTTTTCCTTCTATTTTTGCTGTTCAAAAATAGTTGCATTTGTTCTTATATTAAGTCATTTTATAATATTCTTAAATAATGTTGGTTATGAAACTACATGAAGTAACAAAGCATTTTAACTTTTCTATATGAAAATTTACTAATTCAAAATAGTTAGCTGTTAACCCGGGGGGGGGGACGGAGCGGAGTCACCATCGTACTACCAAGCGGTTATGTGGTATTTTTAATTGATTACGACAACGCACGCCAAAAGAAGGGGTGCCCGGTAGACGAAGCCAGTTTCCCTTAGAAAGTCCTTCACGAAGGCATCCTTGCCTTTAGGCAGATAGCCCTCGAATGCTTTGCCATAATCAAATAAACCAAATCAAACCGAACTCCGTGGAGGACTTTGTAAGGGAATCTGGTTCATATCCATGTTACACATGGGGAAAATCAACAAAACGCCCATGGAGCCATCCCTTTCCTAGGATTCGAAGCCCGAACTAAGTTACCAGTGTTCAGCGACTTTACCGCTGTGCCGTTGGTGAGTCGCTATGTGTTATTGTCTCGAGTTTCCGTACATGAAGGATCAGAAGCACTCGGCAGAAGTCGGAAGTTTAAATTTAATGTAGAAGTTATTCCTTCGCAGTAAATAACAGCCAAATATTTATTTCGCCTACCAGTGGCCGAAAGGAGGAGTTAGACATGAAAAGAAATCTTAGCGAACGTGTGGTTTCGTGGTTTTTCCCATGTGTAACATAAACACAAAGAGGTTTCTTTCGAAAGTCCTCGGGGAAGGCATCCGTTACCTTAAGCATATAACTCTAGTGTGCTGTACCATATTCTAATAAATCCAAATCCATAATCTTTATTTAATTAAACCAAATTTTTGAGCTATTATAAAGAAGAAATGCAATATTTAAACATGAAGATTTTGCATAACATCCTGATAGATACAAACCAGTTTTAGTTAGTTTAAATAACTTTTCCATTTAGATCTCGACCAAGAAGAGAATTAGTACTTCTCATTTTGCAGTATTTAGATAAGCTATCACTGCATGGTATAACTTTTAGGTATAAGCTTGTTGTATAACTTTTATTCTAAAGAGAAATTCTACGAGTGTTTTATTCTAACTACACTTTCTTGGTAGCTCATAAATAGATGCTTAAGAAACTGCTCATTTTACTGAGCACAGAATAGAAAAATTATTTTAAATTAGAGTGTAGACTCTTTGTTTAATTGATTGAACTCGGGAAGGCCTTCGTGGAGCCATTCGGACACTGGTAGATATTTAGAATGTAGATATTTATTATGTGGGCATTCAGATAATATAAATCTGAATGAAAAGGGCTTTGAAACATATTTTTCAGAAAATCGCGCAATCCAATCCTTCAGATTCCAGTTGCAGTCAAGCCAATTTCAAGGAAGTGAAAGATTGGTTCTTTATACGTGGTGGTTCTTTGTATCTACTCCGATAAGGAAAATGTATTATCTCATGAAAATGTGTACAAATTGACTGATATATCGTAAGAAAACTGGTTACTACAGTCATAGCTGCCAAAAGAAGTGAATACGAATTCTAATCAAAAAAATAAAAATATCACATTAAGAGTAAATTATAATTACTCTTAAGTGCAATTATTAATTTTGTGTTCTATTTTTTTTTTCTTTCAGTTTCATTTTATGCCAACTATTTTACAAGTTAAATTACTCACCATAAAAGTCAAGACTCACTCGAAATACACATCTTTCTCTAAAATAAGCATTTACAATTAAGAATAATCATTTTATGATTATTCATATTGTAAAAATATATTTCAGAGAATACTATAACGGTGGGTTTTAAGAATTTTACCATTTTAGTCGAACATGAAGAATTTTTATTTTTAAACTATATATCCCTCACAAAACTAAAACATTTTCAAGCGCATCTTCAAGCAAGAGTCTTTTAAGCGCGAGGGGATTTCTGCATTTCTCGCTGAATATTTACTTGGTACAGCAGCAAAGCAAAGACCTCAAATTCCTGTTTTTTTCATTGAAGGTTTCCTTACTGTTTTTAATTCTTGTTTTTGAACAGGAGTCTTAAACACCTGTTTAAAAAAAAACAAACTACAGTCTAAAACTCTTGATCCTCACTAGGAACTTTTCGAAGAAAAGTGTTATTTATTTATTTATTTATTTTTTTTAGTTCTGTGGACTTTTCAAGACAAGATTTTTTCAGTTAAAATACATTAAAATTGTTCACAACACAAAAAAATGTTGAAAGATTCATATAACAATTACAGTTAAATACCAGATCAAATAAATAAAAGTGCCTTATAAGCAAATTCTTTTCTATACAGAATTTCATGGTTTAATAGTTTTCATAGGTCGTAAGATCAAAGCCTATCGTAAAAGTCTATAAGTAATCTTAGTGCTTTTAATTAACAACACTAAACGATTATGATCAGTCTGCATGATGAATTTTACAAGTCTATCTTGATATAATTTTAACTTATACTGCAAAGACAATGACAGCACACTCCATTTCGATAGCACTGTACGTTTGTTCAGTGAGTGAGAAATTTTTTGTATGCCCTTCGCCTTTAGCATTTATCTGTCACAGTATAACGCGAGTACCAAGAACTGAAACATCGCATTGGATGACAAATGGTTGAGAAAAAACAGGACTGTGTAATACTTAGCAGTTTCTTGAGTTCATCAAAAGCATTTTAGCAAGCATCAGTCGAATTTCTGAAACAGATCAATCAGTTAATTCGGAAATACTTTCATATAAAAGTTTTGATTTGGAATTCTAATACAAGATCTTAAATTCAAGAATGAAAATGTTCCAGTATTACGTAATGAATTTCCCACTGTGAGACAAGAACTCTCCCCCCCCCCCGAAAAAAAAAACCACTATTCTCGCTGATGATTTCGACACTTTAATACAAAGTTTTAAATTTAGAATATCGTACTATTGGTTGAATTCAGTAATAAGATGAAATATTTTCATAGATAATTGCACTGTACATTTAAAAGCAAAGTACTTTTAAAAGCACTCATGTGTCTTGCACTCCTTTAGTTTAACCCTTTCACAGCGAAGTCGCCCGTATCACCCGTGCATTCACACATCGGTAGGTCGCCCGAAACCTACGTCTATTTTCTATACCTGATGCTTTCCCCATCACGTTAGTGCATGGCTCATTGGTTTCGAGAGTTGTTAAATGACATGCCAACCATTCTTTTAAAGCGACTAAAGTAGCTGTCTTATATAAAGGCACTTTTCCTCTTTTTTTTTTTAACGTCAACATGTAGCTATTCATGTTCGCATTTGCAGTCTTATCCTAAGATGAAACTGCACAAAGATCCATAGGAGAGAAGCAATTACTTTACTTAAGTAGGTTACTATTAAAGCATTCTACTTGGCGGAGTATGGAAATTCATTCTAAGAGAATTTCGTATGCACGGGCGTTTCAGATGTTTGTGAAGAACAGATTTTAGCCTTTATCGACGCGAAAGAGTTAAAACACGAAGAGTGGTTTCAGTTTTCGGTTGCAGCGCCTACTATCTGATATCTTACTCTGTAGTGAAGATTTTAAAAATAATTTCACAATTTTGGAGAAATATCAGCAATTTTTATGTTTAAATCATACACACCTCACAAAACTCAAGCATCTTCAAGCAAAGATCTTTCAAGAATGAGGACTTCTCCATTTCTCGCTTATTTGGTAGTGTAGCAACTCAAACACATTACAATATGAAAATCCAGGATACATAATGAGCATGTCATAGGATACTAAGATATATTCATTACGTATCCTGGCTTTTGACGATTTGGGTATTATACCTGTTGTAACCAGCTTTTATTTAGAATGCAGAGGAGGGCCTATAGATAAAAGAAACATAAGTTTTTCTTTTCTGTTCTTTTCCAGTTTCATCTTATGTCAACAATTTTACATAATAAATTACGTAACATAAAAGTCATGATTCGCTCGAATTTCACATCGCTCTCTATAATACATAGTTATAATTCTGAATGATCATTCATATTGTAAATATGTATTTCAGAGAATATGATGCCCTAAGATTTGCTTATTATGTGGCTTATAGAGTAAATAAATAAATGCTCATGTTTCGAATTTTATACATTATACAAAGCTGTTTCGTTACTAAATTGAAAATTCATGATTCATTTTTATAAAGTGCATAACTGCTATTTTCATTTTTTGTACCGAATTTATCTTAATGATGCTAATTGATTACACGTGAAGAGATTTGTAGCTAATTTCTTATCCAGTCTTTGCCTTTACTTTGTAGAGTCATTAGGTTATTTTAAAGCAGGGGACGTGGAAAATGTGCAATACCCTCGTAAGGACTCTAACCCTGGAACTCTGGAATGCACTTGGAATACGCTTCCATTTACACCGCGAAAGCAT